GGTGGTGCTGAGGACTCACCTGGCTATCCAGAGGGACGAAAGTTTCTCATAAGTGGAGCTGAAATGAGAACTAAATGAAGTATAGGACGCAGAGGAAAGTGGTAAATTACCATTTCGACTTCGGTGATCGATGTCTGATGGAAATTGAAGACGAAATGAAATTGAAGTGTTTGAATGATAGATTGCGGTGAGCGGTCGCTTCGCTATTATCTTATCTATTTTTGTATTTTATTTCTAATGTTAGTATCGATTTGTTCTGATTTTGCTGGAAGTTTCTTTGAATTGAGTGCTAAATTAAGTTTTTTTGAAATTAATGTACAAAATAGTAAATCAGTTTTCGAACTTAATTTAAAATATAAATGAATAAAAAGTAAATTAATTCCTTGAAAAAAGTAGAATGAAATGAATGGAAAAAAATTTTCTCTCCATAATTTCTCAAATATCAGAATTATTTTGCAAGTTTTGCAACGTCAGTATTTACTGTCTCGCGCTGGATGATATGGATAAAGATAGGTTCTATGCCGAGCTTTCATTCTGCTAGTAGTATCCTAAGAAACGATGTAACGATGATCACGTGATATCGAATTGCGTAAGAAGGACGTGGAGATATATTTTGTGGCAGACAAGTATCGCTTTCGGGCACGGTGAGCTTCTCCGCTTTGCTGAGGTACATGGTGGATTGCTGAAGATATCTGGTTACATAGAATTCAGAATTCACCAGACATTCGAATCACGCTGATTATATTTTGGTTCATCACCGATAGAAGATTTTATACTAGATAGATGCGCATGTCGTAGATCCGAAACTGATAACTTCCACCATGTTTTGGTTAGAACCAAGGTCCAAATGAAATTTTCAACGAGAAAAACATAGGGCTGTCCGAACTGCGATGCCAGATTGTGCTTGTCAAGGAGTATTATCGGTAATTCCATGGACTAGTACCAGCCGCAGCGAAACGGATAAAAATCGATGTCGGAAAGTTGCTGTGGAGATAGGTCGAGTCGATTGTTGATGAAAAATTGTCCTTGCTTTGCTAGACAATCGGAGCCTACGAAATGATCAATGAAATGATCTGAAGTAAGGATAAAATCTCTATTTATCATTAAAGGTCGTATAGAGTTTTTTGAATCTAAAGTATGACAGCATCCAACATTCTTGATATGACTGGAACGTATTTATTTAGTATGATATGATTATAACTGCAATAATCGCTGTAACTTATTAAAACTTAAGACCAATACTCAAGACCAGTAAAATGCCCCAAGAATTGCAACAATTATATCCTCCGGTGTGGAAGAGGGAACAAATGCTACGTGACTGAAACAAGGCGATTCTGATCCTAAGAAAAATGATAGGACGCAGTGTGACAATTGCCAAGGAATCAAGGAATTGACAGATATTTCTTTGAAAGCTTTTATGTGCCTCTTCAATTGTATAGACTCATGGCAATGCGTGGTAACAGGTTGCACCTGACTAAATCGGATTTAGACCGGGATGTGGCTAGGTTTACCAAATTTTCATGCTTGCAATGGTATTGGAACATCGTTTCAAATATTAGCAGTCTACCATCACGTGTTTAATCGATTTTGCTACTGCTTTTGGTTCAATCGACAGGTCGACATGCAACACAGTGGTGTTCCAGAGAAGTTAAAGAAGTTAAGAAATTTATTTTATCAAAGCATTTTATCGACGTCATAGATGTTTGTGTGGGGAAATAATACGTTTGCCTTTTGATCTTTGGGTGTGTCGTCAATTGCGTTCTTCATAATTTTTCAACTATGCGATAGATTGAGTTATTCCAACCATTTGTGCGTAGCTATGCACAGATCAGTCCAGAGAATATCATGAACCTCTAATACGCCAATAGCGTTGCCTTTTCCACTGCTGGTTACAGGGGACTTCAACGGATACTAGACTCGGTTGCAGCAGCTAAAATTGGCTTTCAAAGCAATGTAAAGAAGACGAAAATCTTTTCGTCATATATAGCAGACGCTGATAAGATCATATTTTTATAAAATTGAATGGTTGAAGAAGCAATAAACTTTAAATATCCCTATATGTCATGCTTAATTACCGGATATAAGGCGAAATTCCAGGTTGGATGGCTGCGACCAGAGATGTCTTCTTTCTCTGGCGAAACCTTTCTGAAATCGCCACGAAATCAGCCTCAAAACAAAAGTTCGTATCTGTCTGGCTATACCGTTCACAGTCGTACTTGGTTGCGAAACTTGACCAATGAGGATTGGAGATATCAGGAAGTTATCTGTCGTTGACCATTTTTATTTAAGGTACTTACTAGGTATTCGCCAAGTTGGCAGAGTTTCGCATGATTACATCCATCTTCACTCAAATACCATATGCGTTAAAGAACATCATCACAGAATGTTTTCTACTATGGTTTGACCATGTTTTTCTTCATTCATCATAGGGATTGACGCATATTTTGCTGCTTACTAAACCGTGTGATGGATGGCGATGAAGGCCAGTCAAGACCGATACGGTCCGAAAGGGATATTTTGAATTTAGGCGATTCAGCGATAATATATATATATATATTTTTTGGACGGTGGAAAAAATGAGTGAATTCAGTTATATTCAAGAATGTCACTGGATCGGCGGATAGTTTGGAAATGTTTTTGCTATTATTCTTTAATTGTCTCTTGGACTCTCTGGTAAGATTGGTGTCTCTATGTCTATTATTTTCTTATTTTTTTAGTTTTGCGGTCCGGAATTCCGACGTTTACGGCGCCTCTTAATTTGAAGAGACTCTTCTAAGTGTCTATTAAGAATTTTTTAATTTATAATCAATCTAAATCGCTCATTAATCGCAATTTTTTGTTTGGAAAATGAAAAGCATTAATTTCACATAAAAGTCTTATCTTTCTGGATGAATTTCACGTGAATTTTGTCGATATACATCGTGGATGAAGTTTTTGATAGACAAAATTTTCATTCGTTTATTTTCGGAAGCATTCGCAGTTTGTCATTGAAAATTTCTGTTTAATCAACGAGCAGAATGAGCTGAGATGCGAATTATTCTATTTTTTTTGTATTTTCTGATCGGAACCTCGGCATAGACCTCTTCGCCCTCCTTAATTAAATGCCCTCCTTTATAATTGAAAATTGCGTTAATTATACTGTTCTTATCAAGATTATTAAGATTATTAAGATTAAATTTAACCAGTCGATTTAAAATTTTTGCATTCATTAATCTAATTCTTCCAACGACTGACGTATTCGACGGCACTGTATTAAAAAAAAGATAGTTCCTTCATTTCATTGTTATCATTACTATCATTGTTTTCCTGTGTTCCACCATATGACTGAAAGTCCGTCCTGTCAATCGATTCTTTCATAAATTGCTGATTTCTAATTACTGCCTTTCGAGCATTTTTTATTTTTTGTTTTCCAGCCGCTTATTGGTACTTTTTTGCAAAATTTTTCCCTTTCCTTCATATTTGTTATTAATGCAAATCTAATTGGTTTTGCAAAATACTATACCGTAAATTATTCTCAGTTCTTATTTTGTTATAATTTCGATAATTTTTTTCATTATTTTTAGCATTTAGTGAACACATATCGCTTAAAGTATCATTTTTTATTCCTAGCTATAAATATTATATAAATATTATATTATATTAGTTATAAATATTATATTATATAATATAATATTATAAATATTATAATATTATATAATATTATATAAATATTATATTAAATATTATAAATATTATATATTATATATTATTATAATATTATATTTTTTATTCCTAGTTATTAATATTATATTATACATTATAATATTTAAATTTTGCTAGACATTGGGAGAAATAGATAATAAACATTATGCGAAAGAAAAATCTGTTATAAATCTGTGCACGTAGAGAGAAGATTGAGAGCGCTTGTTATCTTATTTCGCGCAAGTTAAAGTGAGTGTTAGAAGTTGCTCTTCGTTATGAAAATTCATTCATAAACGTAGCAGGTAAAATATCGTAGAATAAAAACAGTAGTTTGTTTGAAGAGTCGAGGTGAGGGGGGAGGGGTATTTATAAGAGTTGGTTTAATGAAAGAGTGAAGGTTCTCGGTATTTGACGAGGTTTCTAGCTGCTGGATGTTCATTGCCGAATTGAAGTACTTTTGACAAAAATAAGTTTAATAACTTGTTCCGTTCAAAGAGTGAATTTTTTTAAGGCTAATTTCGGGCCACAAATGTAGTAATTAGCATTTTTTGTGAAAATTCCTAGTTTGTTACTATTATTTATTATATAAAGTTTTTAGCAGTTTTATAGTTTTATTTGAGAGTCTGGCAGCATTACCATGTCGTAGGAAGGTACTGATTCTAGCTGATTTTACTACAGACTGTTGGCTAAACAGCAAGGGTTCGACTCGTATTTTTTGGCGAGAATAAACTTACCATTACAATTTCCGTTTTATTTGAAATCCGTATGATGCTGGTGACATACCTGCCCTTCTATCCTGAAGTGAAATGAAAGGATCTCATCCAGTATTCAGTAGAGTCAGCTAAATTGGAAGTAGTGAGTGTTATTAAAAGCTGATAAAAAACCTACCTACATTTCAACTTGCAGATGGCTTTCTAACTAAAAGGTTCTATTCTAATAGCCATTTGAAGACAGCCAAAATAGATTTTTATAGGAAATTTTGAGGGGAATTCTTTGATTTCGATGGTTGAAGGTTGCAGTTTCATGAAAAATAAGCTAAGATAGTTTTCAAAAATGATTGATTAATTTCGATTTTAGTATAGGTCATAAATTATTCGGTCATATAGAATATTGAATATGATTCGGTTCATTTCCTTTCTTTTTGCCAACTTTTAATTTTGGTGTTTAAATTTTATGGCGTACTTATCTATTTATTCATTTCCTACTTTTGCTTTGTATTACTTCCTTTTATTCATTTCCTTTTTTTGCTCGTCATTATGACCATTCATTCATTTATTTTCTATAGAAATTTTTTAGTCCTAATTTGTTTTAATTTTAGGATGAGTATAGCTAAATCATCCACGATGCCTTCGTCACTTTTCCATGAGTGCGGTGATTGTTCTTTTCCGCCTCGATATAGTGCAAACATATTAGCTGATTGTCTAAAAGTATCGCCAGCTTATCGGCAACAAGAGTAAGCTTATTAACTTTAGTATTAATTTTCTCTCTTCTTTGTTATTTTGAAACATAAAACAAATTGCGATAATTTGCGATGAGATATATTGATTAACACGTATATAAAATTTTATATAAAATTTTTTTTCGTTTAATCATCATTTCTAATTTTATTATTTATCAAAAAACTAAACCATTCCTTTTTTATTTACTAAATCGACTAAGCCACTTATCGATGAAAAACGGGAAGAAACTTAGAGACTACAACTAAATTTTGGATAGATCGAGGTAATTGATAGGATAGAATAAGTTAGTTAGCCACAAATACGAAGAAATTAGATAGCATTTGGAGATTTCGACGAGTAAGAATGAAATAGCCGTGGTGCGATCGAAGAATTACTTTCGCAGTTGTTCCCGTTCGAGATCAATATATTGATTCGACAAAAGGCTATTTATCAGATCTTATCTGAACAAATATTAAAATGTCAAGCTTGAGGATGAATTTTTGGATTTTTTCTTTATTTGTTGATTTGCTGATTAGTTGATTTTTCACTTTATAATTCGCTGTTAATGAAATAAATTTATTCGCTTGATTTATGTTTTTTCAAATTGTGATTTTAAATCTTTCTTTTAGAATTCAATTTTTTATATTTAAAGCTCCCAACGGTGGAACGCAGCCATAAATTGCTATCAAGAAATGCGAAGTTATCGTAGTCAGTGTTGTACTTCACCGCCAAACTCACCAGTTGACCTCAATCCTGGTTCTTTTCGCCGCCTTTCACTTTCTGGTTTGTTTTCGAAGTATTTATTTTGTCTTTTGTCTTGTCTTGCAAAACATCGAATAGATATTATAGTAATAGACAAGAACCAAAAATCAGCACTGATATAGCAATAGCAGGTGACATGAACGCTAAGGAGAAGGGAAATTAGAAAAATACGGGAGGCTGAAAGAGGAACTATAGAAGATGTAGGAAGTGAAAGCCGAATTAGCTCATTAAGGTTGATTAATCAGGTTTCATTTTAATAAAAACTTGAGAATCATTGGAAATTTTTGCTAAAATCAAATAAAATTCATCAAAATTCATTTCTAGGCGCATCTTCAATCGACGACTTACCTCCATGCGATATCGATCACTTGAACCCATCAAGCAATTCTTTTGGCTTAATGAAGTGAGTCAGTTATTTTTCAGGTCGATCATCAACTGATGCATTAATCTCTTATTTAATTAGATTTTGGTTTTTAAAAAATGTGCTCTGTTTAGCCCACCACTTGATTTTGAGGAAAAAAGTGACCGATTTGTTGCTTCTTCTGAAGTTGAGCGACAGAGATTCGGTTCTGAGTGGTGATTTAAACTCACCAGTATTTTGTAGCAAAAGGTCTCATCGTAATGGTCGTTGCAACCAGTCAGGCAGGAGGTGATATGTATTCTTAGAAGAACATGGAAATTGGAGTTTTCGGTAAAGTAATACCGTTATCTCCTAACAGGATACTGCTTCGCATTTACTTTGTTTCATTCCTTTTTTTTGTTATATATACAGCAAATTTTGTTATTGTCAACAAATGTCAATGTTATTCACGTGAGAGGTTTAACATTCATGTGAATTTCCCATAATTTCCTACTGTTATTCTCCGAAACACTGATTTGTTTTTCAAATTTTGCTTTCTTGTGGATTTTCATGTGGAAAACCCTTAAGACAAGGTTTAATTTTAATTAATTTTCTTGCTTTATCACTAATTTCTATCTTATGCTTGCTAATGGCATTTGATATTTCCAGTAAACTGTTTAATCCACTTTATTTACTTTTTTGATTTAAATTGGCGAAACTAGAAAACCACCATTTTTTTTTTCCATTAGTGCAATCTTAATTTTCACAAGTGATTAATAGCCAATTTATTCGAGTATAATGTACTGCATTATCATACACTCGTAAAAATCAATCCGGAATTCAGTCAAAAATACGGAATTCACTAAATTTAAGTTAGGGGCGAATCATAACCAATGCATTTCCTGAAAATATTCGTTGGATACTTAATCAGATTAGCTGGGTATTTCTACATTGATAAATGACATTCTTATCCGAAGAATGTCCGAAGAAGAATATAGAATGCGGTAGGCTTTTCTTCAAGTTACCAAATAAGTCTCAATATCAGTGCACCGCTCAACCTCAAAAACAAAAAATAAAAAAGAAAGAAAATTATTGGTCAGTCATTTCGCCAAATTTTTCATAGACAATTTATGTCAGTTGGTTGATCCTTTGTTCTTTTTTATAAACTATTCGAGTCAGTATTCATTTTTTTCTGGTCGTCTGCATTTGAATAATGGTTAACATAAACAATATTTTAGGTTGAAACTTAAATTGATTATAAAATAGAAGAAATAAAAATATTACTAAAAAGTCTTTTTCTTTATTCCATTTTTCTCTCCAACAGGATTTTGTTTTTGTGAATGTGGCTACCATCAGCAGCAATTTTTCCCAGTATTTTTGGTTGTTGTCTCAAAAGTTGGCTTCGTGAGAATGATATTTTTTTCGTTATTCATATTCTAGATTCAAGGAGTTTTCAAACTGATAAACTTTCACTTTTTTTTAGCTTTTTTGTGTTGATAAAATAACTCATCAAAATTTTTACAAATTTTCTCCTTTTTATTTTTTAAGAAAAAAATTCAGCGGCTTTTATGTTTTCTTGATTGTTGTAAAGGCATGTACTTTTTTCTCAGAAGTGTAGGTTTTTTGAAAATTTTTAAAGAAAAAATTTGATACAAATTAAAGGGCTAGAAAAAGTGCCAAAATAATATTCTTTGGATTTGATAAGCTTTTTGTTTCAAATATTTTGACAGTGATATTATTATAATGCATTAAATTAGTTTTCAGTGATTTATCTTGATTTGCACAACATTTATTTACATAGCAGATATCGAATCAACTTTTTTTCCTTAGCTTTTGGTTAGCCTTAGGTGAAAGTGATTTTTCCTGCTTGAGGTTTGCAAAGTTCAGTGTCTTTGCATGAAGCAGATGAAATTTCCAATAATAAAAACATTAACAATGAATCGCCTAAAAAATTAAATTTTGCTGCCGAAATATGAGGCAGGGTGATCCAGCAGTTTGGGAAATGTTGTTCTGGCTGAGGACAAACATAGATTCATACGTTCAATTTCTTGTCGAAAAATCATCTTTCACTGAAAATAAAGTCCGAGTGGTGTTCTTTCATCCTCAGTCTCATACTTCTGTCTTTGGCACCAAAAAATTGAAAGAATCTGAGGTGCTGGCGATCCACATGTACTATCGCCAGCTGATTCTGGTAAAAATTTTTAACTTTAGTAATACTAGCGAGATTAGCCGGAAATGGTGAACATTGTGCCCTGTTTCATTCATAACATTTGTTAGCTTCATCATTAATTAAAAGGAGGTTTTAGAGTAAAAAGGAATTCGATCATTAGATGCAATTCCTTGTTAATTAAGTGTTCCAGCGAAAAATAAGCACATTTACTGATCATTTTCTCTCAAATCCATTTTCATGGAACGTTTTCAGTGAAATTATTCTTTTCCTTTTAAACGATAATATTCATTATCGGATAAGAACTATATTTTTTTTGCAATTTGTCGAGGCTCGCTTTTATTTGCATTTATATTATTTGTTCCACCTTCACTGAATAGTTAATTTATCGTTCGTAAATCGGTCACTATTGTTGTCTTCAACTCGGCCGCGTCCACATTTATTGTATAGTTGGGTGCTGTCGATCTCTGTTTGTGATGCTATCTTTTGCTTCAGTATGTCGTAATCGCTCATCAGTGTCCTCTCCAATTTCAGTACCAGCAACTCACCATCAGCTTGGTGCTTTCCAAACTTTTAGTTCTTACTCACCTACTTTTATTTCTTCTTCATTTCCCAACAGGTGCTTTTGTAGTTTTTTACCTATTTTTTAAGGATTATGGTAATAAATTTTAATATTTTTCAATTTACAGACAATTTATAAATTTATAGATTTATAAATTTCATTATACCTCAAATATCACATAAACTATGCTTTTTTGTGAAATTTTGCAGTGTTTTCTATGTTTTTCAAGATTTATTTTCATTATAAAAAGTCTTGAAATTCATCGTACTCTGTGTTCATTATTGATTATCTCTGTTGCTGCAGAAAATCTTGTAAAAATTTCGAAGCGAATAACGATTAAATTGATGGGAAAAACGAGTTTTTTATAGCCCTTTTCAGTTGCAATTATTTTTATTTTCTGGCACACAGTTCTAAAGATTAATTAGTTTAATTGGTTGAAAATGAAAGATTAAGTCGCTTTAAAACTTAAGTTTCGCTTTACAAGCTTTTCCAAATTTGCGAGTTTCCATGGATTTATTTTGTTATTGCCGGTTGATTTTAGATTCTAAGAGATTTTTTAAGATTTTTACATATTTTATTAAAGAAAATGAAGGACAGGTTTTATTACGTTCGAAGAACGTAAAATTTGGCGTAGTCTTATCAAATGTGTGCAGTTTTCTTTTTCATATGTGCGAATATTGGTATAAGGCCAGTGGTGAATTTAATAAAACACTTATGTGCCGTTGTACCGTTTTTGTCATATCTCTGCCTCAGTTAATATGTTGTTATTCTTTTAGTAATTATGTTTACTGATGGGAATATGGGTTGCAAAAAATTATCAATATTCAATCTTATTTTATGCAAATATTCCTTTTTTAAAAGAAATTCTTGTCGACTTTTTTAGTCTTTAAGGAGAATTTTTTACTATATGAATAATTTAAAAATAAAATTTATTTTTTGGGCTAATAAATTCATCGTTTAATTTGGATTATTTTTTACATTTCTTTCTCTCGACTTTCTTTATTAATTGAAATTTACAGTTCTTTACCATCTCTAACGAAGGTTTCATCGCATAATCGAAGCCTACATGGAACAAACCCTCAGTCACGTGGAGATTCGTCTTTAGAGTTGGAGGCTATAGCCGCTGTGCATGAACTTTCATTTGCCGTACATTCGATATCCGTCTCTGAGATGCTTCCACGTACACCGGAGCTCATTTTTGTTAACGTGACCACCACTGAAGGTTGCAATTTTTATTAAATTTCTTGGAAATATATGAGATATTTGTATAATTTTTTAGGTCAACCTTACTGTATCGAATTAACACTCAAAGGTTGGCGAATCACTTCACTACGGAATGACTGCATGCACGGTGATTTTAAGCAACTTGAATTGTTTACCAAATATTACGAATCACTCTATGAACTTATGGATTTTATCTCACCTGGGTACAGAAGTCGATTTAGTGAAAAATTATCTCAGCGTTTAAAATTATTACAGGTAATATTGTCAACCTCGTTCTTAATGATTTGATTTATCTTATGGCCTAAAAAAAGCAAACAAGAAATGAACCATCTGAATATTTTATCTTATTTCAGGCTGGTGAAAATCCTGAAATAGCTGCGCCATTCAGCTCTTATGCTTGTACACCTTTGCAAGAGAGCCCACAAAAATCGCCTACTTCCGTTGTTTCTTTTGCATTCGGAAGTGCTAATGATTTGGATAGTAATTTATAGATTTCATTCTTTTTCTTTATACTTCGAAAAGGAAACGGGATTGCTTTTCTTTTAGTTAATTTTTGTAAGATTTAATTGAGTCTAGTTTCAAAATTTGAATAAATATTGAAACACAAGAAAACATTTTTATATTAGGAATTTTTTATATTTCTTTAAAAAAACCACTGTTTTGCCCATTTTTTTCAAAAGGGGAATTGAAATATTTTTTTTCTGGAAATGTTAGGCCAGAGAAATTTCTTTAAAAGCTTCGCTTAATAGTATTAAACAAATGATTTTTTTGTCTGTTTTAATATTATCTTTATTTTAGATACCATTTTTTTATTAAAGCATGTTGTAAAGATGCATGAATTTTTATTTTATCATATGGTGCAGACAAATCAAAAGTGTAGTCAAATCAGTTAACGTAAAACTTTTGTCCAACATAATTTCTTTTGCTTTTCAAGGATATTTATTTGCGTTTGTGTATTTGCTAAATATTTCTTCTCAAAATTTGGTTTACTTCCAATATATTCATGGAACAGACAATCGTAGCTGAATGATAATTCATTATCATTCAATTTTATGCAGCAATCTGGTCCACTTATTTAAGCGCCTTCAATTATAAATGATCTCTGATTTCACTTAGCAAAGTTTGTATGCACCATTTCAAGTTTCATATCAAAATTTTTTTGTTTTGAAACATATTTATAGTTGTTAACTCCGTTATTTTATTTACAATATTCATCTTTTAGTCTTGTTTATTTAAACTTTATATTTCTGTTTTTCAGCTGAATGATACTTTCATCTTCTACTTCGTTTATTGTTTTTTACTTGATTTTCACCATTTTAGTGCAGTACCTAATGCAGCTAAAAATAAAGTTTTTATCTTTTTTGAAGTTTTGAGAAGTTTAGGGAAAAAATATTATCAAACATTATTCGTCAATGTAGAGATGTCCGTCAGTTTATTAAACATTCTTTTAAACACATTATATTAATAATTTTATCACAAAAAAAAGGATCAACAGCCGACAGGCAAGAAAGGCTATGAAAAATGGGACAATTTATAAATGCGCAGATAAATATTAATTAATAAAATTTAACACTTTATAAGGAGAAATAAAATATTTTGATTTAACATTAAATAAGAATCGTTATTTAAAAACAAGTCGCGAATAGTTTTGGTCCCAAAACCAAAAAAGGCAAATATTTATTGTTACGATTTATACCCACGCCTACAAATTCATGCCCACGACTATGTTGGCGGACGAGATTCGATAAACAATAGGTTCGAAGAACCATTACGAAAAACCAAGAATAAGTAGTATAAAAATAAAGATTTATTAAACTCTTAGCCGACAATTTTTTCTGCAACGTTTTAAATCATTTTTCGAATCGAAGAATTCTATGAACCAACTTACCAGTTATTTTTTAAGCTCAATTTTCACGGCTAATTTACCAAAATGTTTGTTGCACTAATTAAGCATTTTTCCAGTTAAAAATATGCTATTATAATGTTAATCGAGTTTTATTCACAATAAAAGTATAATGAAAGAATATAATATTAAATTTCTTCAGGCTTTCATTTATTTATTTAAAAGAGCTACGTGGTGCGGAAGTTAACAGAACGTGGAACATAAAAAAAAGGCATGAAAATGAGAAATAAATATAAAAGAAAAGCTCAAAAACAAATGCAAAGTGAATGATACTCCTAATACTAAACTATCAATATCACAGCTGTCGTGGATAGGACTTCGCGATTGTAATCGTGTAATTTTATTCCATTAGTCGACGGAATCTTCAGTATCACGATACCTTTTTATGCGAGAGAAGCCTGCAAGTTGTTTATAGAAATGAACGAATGCAAATGCCGAAAAAATTTGAAAAAACTGGATAATTAAAACCTGCTGAATCTTTCGATATAGCATACACCCATTCAGGGCGACAAAGCTGCCGAAGATGTTCAACGAATCGATCATCATGTGTAATGACAATCAGCTGGAAATTTTTGTCAGTATAATTACAACGAGCCTCAATTATTTCTGCCAAAATTTCACCGAGATTTTCGACCTGAAGCCTGTTAATAAACAAAATCTCATAAGTAATGGGCCAAAGACAAGGCATGGAGGTTGAATTAGATACCTTAAAAACGTCCAGATTTGCTGTCGGTTCGTCCAGAGCAATGACTGAACATTTGTCGCAAAATACATCAGAAAGAGCTATACGAATCAAAATTGATGCAAGCATCTTAAAAACACCAGTTTAAATTTGAAAGTAAAAATAAAATCTCGGAATGCCTTTGTTTAATAAGGTCAAACCTTTTGACCAGCACTGCACCTTCCAGGCATATCGAATTCCATTCCTTCCACACACATAACAACGCGGTAATTGTAGGATTTTCTCTTTTCACCTTCATCCACACTTTCTGATCTGAAAACATTAAATGACCACCAAACTGTAGCAACTAGCGCCAACAAATAAAATGTAATCAAAAAACTCGACCAAGAGCTAAATTTAAATTTTTTTATTTTCCATTTTTTTATTTGCATTTTATATCGCATTTGGTATCTTCTAACCTAAAACTATTTTCGACCGAGAAAATTAAATTAAATAAATCTTAATAGACCTGATTTGAATGCGGTCAATATCGTTTCCTCTATAAACTTTTCCCCAAAGCGTACCGAGTATTTCGTTTATCTCTTCCATTTTTTTTGCGTGATATTGCACAATTGATTCATCTACTATGTGAATATATGTAGTGAGATCCTATAAACAAACTCAATGACAAATTACAAATTTTAATCAAACTGAATCAAAAGAAATAGAACATAATAGGTTTTGAACATCCAAATTCAAACTCCAGATATCCTGAATGCTTATATCGAGAATTAATCACCTTAATAACATTTTCTGTTACAAATTTTGTAATAAATTCTTGCTTGAATTTCGTTTCGACATCTAAAAAATCCTGTGAGTTCAACTGTTTCCTAATTTCATCGATTCTGGCTTTTTGCTGAATTACTTCACCTAGATAAATATTTTTTAAATAAATAATGTGATATGAATAAAGAGGAACTAAAGAGGTAAATAAATGAGCAGTATACCATTTTTGATTAGCGTTATACAAAAAAAATTTTCAATAATGTGAGATTGGAGAAAAAAAACCTTTTTTACGCTCCATTTCAAACAATATATCGTCATTCTTCTTTCTTAGGTTTTCTTCTAGGTTCCTTAAATCGGCTAATGGTTCTTTTTCCTGGCGAGCTTTTTCTTGTTTTGCTTTTACCATTTCAATTCGGTATTTTAATAATGACTTTCGTAACTGTTCGTTTAACCGATGCATGCGTTCTTGCTATAAGAAAAAATTTTTTTCTTTTGAATTCGATGATTAAAATACGGAAAAAATCTTCAGAAAAATATGTAGACCAGGATTTTTTTCAGAAATTGAACTAAATTAATTGCTCTACTCTAAAAAAAATTGGTCAAAAAATCGAAGATAAACAATAACTCTGGTATTAGAATTGTCAATTTCATTGTTCAAAGAACGAATAGCTTCGTTTCCTAATGTAATATCTTTATCCAACTTATTCAACTTTGTTTCGAGTTGTTTTCTATCGTCCGATATGTTGTTTATCTGATTAATTCGTTTACTGAGAGTACCTAAAGGTAATTACGAAGCACGCAAAGAATAAATTATGAAAAACCTATAAAACAAAAGCAGTCCTCTAAACAACTAGCTTTATATTTTAAAAAATTCTTTTAACAGTTTTCATCACTGGTTAAGCTCACTCCGCTGGATAAGAGACCCTGCCTTCAAACTGTTCGATTCGACACTATCGCTGATAATAATGGAAGCCATTCCTTTTTCCATCGCCTAAATCCATACATTGCTGGTCCCCTTGTATGTTCAAAATCTTTCCTAATTGTATCCAGGTCTTAACTGATCTTCCTCTTTTTTAACGGCGTTCATCACAGGGCTCAAAGAGTAACGAAATATGTGCCAATTCCTGTGGTGTGGCTATGGAAAACGTGCTCAGCGAATGCGACGCTTTGTGATGGTATTATTCATACAAGTGGTATTTAGCGAAGACTGATGCAACCATGTAAGATATCCACTAGACGGTAGCTTCTTAATATCCTCCATTCTTATTGTCATGCCTCGCAGCTATATAGCAAGATTGAGCGAACTATTGTACAAATATGGACTTTCGTATTTACTATGGTTTCTCGACGGTTCCACAAAGGTCAATCGCACGAACGCATTTCTAGCAACCGTTATCCGGAGTGTAATTTCTTTTGCTAGGCCATTCGTTATTAGAGTGGAACCAAGATATTTAAAGTCGCACTTCCCCAACCAGCAAAGAACTGCTAGAAATAGGTATTTTATCAGAATCCTGTATATAAGACGAAAACTTTCGATTTATTTATATTAATCATGAGTCCAATTTTCGCTGCAGTTGTTGACATATTTTTTTGCTATATTGGCATTTCGTCAGCAAAAAGGACTACACATTATCAACGGATTCAAGATACTAAGCATTGAACTAATTCGCCACTTCTTGAATACTGACAAGCGATGTCCATTATCCAGTCTATCGTATAGTGGAGTACGGTAGGTAGGGGAAAGCACACCTGATGGACACCAGTTCTTATTTCGAAAGGGTCTATCAGTTCCACATATACATAAATCTATGCCAATGTATGCTAATAAAATGTTTTCATGAGTCGAATGATCTTCTCTGGAACACCATATTCTATAATTCTCCAGAGCTCTGCTCTATTAATTAAATCGAAGGCAGTTGCAAAATCGATGAAGCAAGTGATGGTAGGTTGATGATAGCGATGATATTTAAGGAGATATTCTAGCACCCTTTTTAGCGTGAATATCTGGTCTAACTTTAAAAAATTACCCAAATGTGTAAGAGAGGTCTCCAAGTTATTTTTGAGAGCGATAAGTTCTTTCTCATTTGTCTTTCCATTATTCAGAATTTTTTGACGCTTATAAAATGCATCCTGAAATAGCTCATTTTTGGCTCGTATAATTCGAAATTTACAAAATCATGGAAAAAATTGTTAGTGTTAAATTGCTGTAAATTCTCATAATTCATGCCCCATCTCAGCTTGAAGTATGAGAAAAGTAAGCAGAAAATGAGCAGGGAAAATTACAAAATAAAGAATTGCATTATTATAGTATAGTAAGCATATAAGAAATACTATACTTTTTGCTTAGATTCCAAAATTGGTAGTTTTTGTTTAAGTTGTTCAATTTCGTTCTTTTGCATTTCTAAGTCAGATTGCTTCTCCTTCAGCGATTTTACTAAAGCATTGTTTCGAAGTTCCTTCTCACTTATTGCAAAATGCTGATCGTGTAATTCATTAAGCTGTAATAATTCGCAAACTTTCATTAATTGTTTACAAGGTTGAAAAGATGAAAGAATTGAAAAAATTAGAGAATAAACCTGATTTAAAAATGAATACATAAATACCAGAAATAAAAATTCTATAAGGCGATAAAATGAAAGAATACTTTTTTCAGGATCTCATTTTTATTAGAGATCATTCTTTCAGTATTATCAATGTCATGCAAAATAGAACTGTATTTTGCCTGCAACAATATACACGATTTTATGATAAATCCCTATGCATAAAAAACAATACAAGATATCCATATTTTAAAGTAAGAGTACTATCGGATGATAGGGAATGCGAATGAAAAAAGCAGTTAAAAGAGAAAAGATATATACCTCATTTTCTGCTAGTTTATTGCGAAGATCTACCAAAGATTGTTTATCAGTGCTATCACTGATCATCTCTGCTTTCAGAAGCTTACATTCGCGATCTGCTTCACAAAACGATTTCCAAAGGTTATCCATTAAAGAAGAATCGACCTGACAGAAATGAATGGAAAAAAATTGAAACTCTACTTTTTAGAGGTAGTTGAAATAGAACTTGTACTTTCTGCTTAGTATTTGACCAAATGATGGTGTCACAAACATATTTTTTACTATACTTCACTAAATTTCTTCATTCTATCGTCATTTCACTTTTTTATTTTTAGCTGTTTTTTCCACATCTTTTCAATGTATAATGTTTACTTACGTCTTATAAAAAAGATTAGATGCCATTTACTATTCACATCATCATTTCATAACCTGCTATCTAAATTCGTTCCCAATTATTTTTTTTTCTATTTATTATTTACTGGCATCAAGTTAATAATGTACGATGTTACAAAAGTATTTGTTAAAAGTATTTTAATGCAACAAATTTTTCTTTAAGTTTTTTTCGTTTTCGTTTTTAAAATTTATTTATAAGAGAAAATACCAGGGCATCCTGTACGAGGTTATATTTTAATCGTATTAAAGCCGCTTCTGATTCAGTTGTAATCAGTTTTTCCTTCGCAATTCGTACTTTATCCTAAATTAAGAATTACTAACCAACCAACCAACCTCTCAAAGATGGATGACAAAAGTTGCAATCGAATTCATGAATGAAAATAAAAATATACAAAATACGGTAAAAAAAAACAAAAAAAACAAGAAAAATAGCTAACTTCAGCTTTTATTAAGTCAGTTTCGAGTTCTAAATTCGTCATTCTTAATTGTTTTGTAAGACGTACATAAGGAATCAATGTCATGAGTTCAGTTTGGAATTCCTCTTGCTGTTTTACACGCTTCTGCATCGCTTCTAATTCTTTTGGTAAAAGTGATAACCGATGATTTATCTAAAAAAGCATTAAGTTTTAAAAACAAAAAACAAAGATTTCTGGCAAGTAGATTATTTTAATAACCAGCGGTTATTTTTTGCAAAAATATATTCGAAAATATATTCGAATAAGCAAAGCAGCGAAGTGAAAAGACTGATGCACAATCATCAATAATCAATAAAATTATAAATAGACAGTGAAGCTTAAAAAATCGACTAGAAATTTATACAACGCCTAAATAAGAAAGATATATAAATCCACAAGCCTTTTCAGTCAAATTATTAATATCGTTAATATTTCGATATGATCGCTCGCAAAGTGGACAGCAACGCTTTTCCTTGACTTCTGCTTCCCACTGTTCATATAGAAACTGACACCCATCAATACGTCCCAAATCTTTGCGTGATTTTGAAAGTGAATCATTCAGTTCAGCCAACCGAGCTTCAACATTTTCATTGGCAGATATCACCTTCAATAAGATAAATTCTATTACCTTAAATTTTTAGACAATTTCAGTAAATGCATAAGCTTTCATTAGAAAAAGACAATTAAGTTACGAAAAATATTTTCCATAATTAAAAGTCATAAATATTGATAGAAAACTTTAGCTTTTTGTTTTTTATTAATTTATTAATTTTTATTAATTTTTGCAGTTCAATTAAATTTTACATATTTTAGTGGAAATTTCAAACAACGGTTTATTTAAATTTAGCTCCATAAATTATTTTGATTAAATGATAAGAAATAGTCTTTGTAATGTAACACCACCTCTTTTTATTTATCTTAACTTCTTATAACATCATTCAGACCAAAAGCTACTGAAATCACCATAATATCTATTCTTTTAATAGCTTTTAAACAAATTCAATTTGAAAAAAGATGAATATATGTGATTTTGCAATTTAAATCAGAATATCACTGTTGCCTAATTTAAAAAAAAATTAACAAATCAAATTTTTTAGCTAATGAAAAATTTAAGTAAGGAAAAAAGATGCAACACAAAATGACTTGACATTTCATACCTTAAAAATTTTGCTCTCATTGATAACGATACTTTCATTGGTTTGGTCAATATTACGTTTAATCAGTTGCACCTTTTGCTCAACTTGATGCAGTTCTTTTTTGCTATCTTCAACATCATCAGCTGCGTCAGATAATTTTTTTGAAAGTTTTCGCACATAGGCAGACAAGCGAAGGCTATAATAGGTAATCGTGTATACCCAAAAAAAACAAAAAATATAATGTACCAAGGGATTAGGAAAGGAAAATTTTTTTTCCGAAAACTTTAGAACTTACAGGAACAAATAAACATTTAACTTTCCAAGACAAATTATATAGTGAAATTAGAAAAAAACCTCACCCCACTGGATGTTCTACCGGATCATTTCCAAATATTTCTTTTAATGCTTCATTGTGTTTTTCAGCCAATTCTTCCAAATGAATTTTATATTTCATAACTTGTTCATTCTTTTGATCTATTGAGTTTTTAATCTCTTCACATCTTTCTCTCGCATGTATCTCTCCTTTTAAAGCATCAATCTAGAATTTTAAAAAATATTTTTCAAATAGCAGCTAAAAAATACAGCATAATGTAAAGTTATCACAGTATAGCAAATATAATGGAAGGCTTATTAAAA